CTATCTCTATGTGGAGGTATCGGTGAAGGAGGTAGAGAAATTTGCGGTGATGATAGTAATAATGATATTGGTGATTGTGGAGGAGGTGATTGTGGAGAAGGTAATTGTGGTGATGATGGAAGTTGTGGAGAAGGTGATGGCGATGGAGTCTATGTGCAAGTTATTTAGAATATATTATTAGATTATTCAATAATCCTTTATTCATAAAGAGTATACATACAGGCTTGTTTTTACGACGTCTTTTTGATAAAGGTCCAACATTATAATTAATATTTCTTCGTGTACGGAGATTGAATTCTCGACTTAAAAGAGGTACGTCTCTCCTTTTTCTATTAATTTTTTGTTGAGAGTTTTGTGTCCCTACTACTCCTGAAAGAGTATCAGACGTATTCTCATCCACAGATCCTCTATCTGAATTTCCACCTAAATCGTCGTCAAAACCTTCGGCGAAATTCGAGCCAAAATTAGATGAAGAATTATTATCGTCATCCACAGACCTTCCATTTGAATTTTCGCCTAAATCATCTTTGAAACCTTCAACAAAATCCCCCATATCACTATGGTTCGGGCTGATATTAGATTTGTACCACTTGCTTGTAAGCTCAGACAAATCAGCCTCCTTTATCCGTAATTGCTCATTAAGCTCAGAAAGATTTCGAAGAACCAGCTCTATTTCAGCTTTATGGTTCGTTATATCCCGCCTCTATAAATGGAATGTTAATCTATATGATCAAAGTTTCAAAGAATTTATCACCAAATCATATGATCGAATTATATGCAATCTTACCATTTTACATTCCTGTTCTACTCCTTCCCAATATTCTTGTAAACTGTTTTCACATCGTAAACGTTCTGATCTGACCTATTATAAATAGAAGAGTGCGAATTTATCTAATAATTAAGGAAGCATAGCTATTTTCTGCTCCGAAACAAGCAGACCTTTATTAACAGCAAAGATAAGGCACCTGAACAGAGGGCTTGGAATGGTTACCAAACTGTCATGCCCAGTAATTCCCCTAAATCAAACTAGGAATCCCTCAGCTCGATTAGAAGTTACCCTTACTTTGCAAGATAATAAATGACGCACCTTATCCTCTATTGTAATAAACCTACTTTCATCTATTTTCCTCGCCTCATATAAAAAACGACTAACCCAAGTATTATTGAGGTCTTGCCAGCAAGAAGTAGGTGAAGTCAATGACGAGGTAACAATTACTTCTCGGAAACGGGAAATAAAACCCCAGAAAGATGTATATGTAGTCAAATATGAAACAAGCTCATCATGACCGACATAAATTTCATCAAAAACCGAAGACATATTGATTTTATAGGTTTTAGATATAAAGCACAGCACTTAACGTTTTTTTTTTTTTAGTGTCGCGTGTTAAGAAGACGTGTTCTACAAGACATGCCACGCTGTCCATTTTTATTTTATTTGTGTAGAAAAAAATGAGATCTGTTACCTAAATCATGTATGCATGTGTGAAAAGGCTTGATTTATCTATTAGGTTGAGGAGTTAATCCGAAATAGGTAGGTCGCAATATTTTACCTTGCATGCGCCATGTGTCTGAACGTTGTAACGCCGATCACTTTTCGATTAGATCCGGGATACCACGCATACACTGATCAAAAAAGTCAAATCATATCTTTATTATTTTTTTCTTAGAGAAACAGAGCTTCAATGCTAAGTTATTTTTTTCGTGAAATAATATATGAGAAAGGCCGGCCGATCAAGTAAAAATGAAAGTAAAAATAATATAGTAGCAGGATGTTTCAAGGGAGGAAAGGCATAAAAAATACGCCTGCTTGTTAAGCCTGCCGATCCCTAACCCATATAATGGCAGTTCCTTCCCCACTACTCAGTAGTTAAGAAACTGTCTATGATCTATCCAAGCACCTATCTTTTCTAAGTTTTCGCTTTTTATATTTCCCCACGGTAAAAAACCCTTTATTGCATCTTTTTCAATTGATCCCATTCCCAAGTTTAAGAATATCAGCCAATACAAGAGTACACATCTGATCTAAAGAATAATCCCTCGCACCCTTAGCTCTATCAAAGATATCCGAAAACTGTTCCTGGATTACAGAAATGATATTCGCGAATCTTTGACTTTAGTCGAGCAGAAGACGATGAAGCCTCGCTTTGCCGGGAGTGTCGTTGATTGATTTCGCTCTAGAGCGTTGCCGATCGATTCGAAATCAGTTGCAATATGACTAAAATTATTATGGTAGGTTTCTAGAACTCGCTCGATTTCGTTATATTTCCCATTTATCATGTTAATGATATTTTGCCTCCATTGCATCACGGGAACTCATTTTTGTGGTAAGATCGTTATTAATATCGGTTCTGATCTTGCCGATTTGTTCAGCGATAGTAGTGTTGATCTTGGTTTCACGAGAGTCTGTTTCGACGGCATTTTTTCGCTTTACGTCCCACAAGAAGAACCACATGGTGATGAATTTTATACACAAATGGATATTTTCGGGAGTCATCTTCGTAACGACGAAAATTAAAGTAGTGGTTAAAGCCATAAAAGGCAGATTTTCCAAAACGATGAATGGGTGCGTTTATTAAAAGAAATTCCGATTAGAAAATTAATTGTGGGGACGTGCGGATATCTAGATTTAAGATGTGAAACTAAGTTCGATGAGTTTTTTTTTGTAAGGCCTTTGTTAATGCCACGTTTGTTTTGTAGGACATCAGAAAATTTCATCTTTTATAGGGTTATGTTTGATTATCATTTTTTTCACGTAAAGTAGAGAAGATGCCAGAACGATTTTTTAACTTGACAGTAAACGTAATCAGGTATTATTAGTATTTCTTTGAATATTAATAGCATCTATTCTTAAGTTTCGACATTACATTGCGTAATTGAATATAATCATGTAAATCATCCTACAGACTAAGAATGAATAGATCGCTTAGGGGATTAACACATTGACCTACAAATGATTATGAAGTTTAGCGGAGCCAGTACAAGGTGCTAAAAATAAGGTTGGTATTTTTATGAGCATTATGTCCGAAATGTTTATTCTTAGTGAAGTTCATCAACAACAAAAAAACATTTAACTGTTAATATTAAAACGTATTTCTAGTCTCTATGTGGCAAAAATTAGGTTACACGAAGACGTGTTGAAAATCGATAGCGGAGCTAGTAAGCTGATTGAACAACGACGATCTGATTTTGTATAAGTTTCACCGGTGTTTAAATCGTAATAATAACATTCATCATCGTCATCAGAAAAATCACAGAAGCTCCCATCATCAGAGAAATTCTTATCATTAACGTCCTCATAAAACACCGTTTCTAAATTAGAAAGAGTAGATGTATTACTTACCTCAAATTCCGGTAAAGTTTTCTTGATATCTGAAGATGACGCACTTACTTCAACTTCTAGTAATTCTGAATCTTTATCGTTTTCTTGGGGTGAATCTAAAAGAATCGATTCAGTAGGTATACTTACCTCAGTTTCGGATAAATCATCTGAAGAATTATTCTGTTCATCGGTGAATTCTATATCAGGCTTTTTGGTGAAGTGATCTATAATCGTTTGAATTTGAGTATTAGTAAATTTTGAAATTGGGAACTTCCAGAACCTAACGTTGGGGGTGATATCCTTCTAGCATCCGCCGACCATCCTAGCTCGACATTTACTACTAAACAACATGAGCAATATGTAAAACATTTCCATAAAAATAAGGAAGACTTTGAAAAGCAATTAATACGTGATCAGCTCAAGAGAGAGCTTTGCGATGACAATTGGATCGTTCTTATCGGAATATGATGTTATGAAGGTCCGCATAGGGATGATTACGTAATACGTACTGTGTCAACGATGCACATGACTAAAATCTTGGTGAATAAAAAAAAATTACGTATATACTGTACACATTAATTTTTGTCTATTTCCACTCTAAAAATGTCTGATAACATAGTCCATAACTATCCCAAGTTACCAAAAACGCTCCCAAGAGAAGATAGGTAAGTGTGCCTCATGCAAATTTCTTTAAGATCCACCCAGTGTTGGCTCATGTAGTTACAGTTTGCCCTTACAGATTGGGTCAAACGTTTCATTGGAAGATTATAATACTTTCCTTGACCGAAACGAGTCCTCTGGGTACAAGTTTCAGTGGGTCAACAAGAACGTATATATTGTTGATATGGCAAGCTTAGAACACGGAGCGGTTGTTGCGCTGTTGTTACAATATTTTCTTGATCCAAACAATGGTGTAAAGCGTGGTCCGATAACTGTTGTTGGTCAATCATGTAAAAGATTTCCTCTTAGTCTGCTCGAATTTTGGCTTGTAATAACAATTCACATCTTTTCCTATAGATCATCATAATCCATCCAACGCCGGGGAAAAAATCGCACCAGACATCGCAGTTTACCCACATATTACCAATGTTCCAAAACCTGGTATTCAGTATCCTGGCCCTCCCCCTAGTGACATAAAGGTATTTTGAATTTGTATATATTATTATATTTATTTTTGAGTCACTTTCTTAATATTAATAGTATATTTACATAGGGTTTTCCTCACGCGAGAATAATCTGTGAAGTAGCTGTAACTCGAGGCACCACTGATTGGAATGCAAAATGTGAGAATTGGATGCGTGAGCAATACGTTCGATGTGTATTTGGTATCAAGCTTCATAACATAAGAACTTTAAATGGATATGTTCACCGGTCAATGACGGTATGTCTAGCTACTTTATTATTCTATAGTTTCGTTCTAAAGTTTTTTTATAATATTAGGCTAGGTTATGGACACATCAAGCACCAGCACCACCAGGAAGGACAGCAGTACCAGGACTAGCAGGAGTATCTGTCCAAGAGGTAAGGTTGATCTACCGTTATATTCCTTGTGATCAAGATCTTGTCAGACTGAAATTTAATTTTTGAAATATGATAGTGGGATTTCGGCACTCTACAATTAAATGGTACTAATACTACCCTTTGCAATGCTTTGGGACTTCCTGCCTACCAAGTTACTATTCCATTACAATATGTTTTTTGGAATCCGCCGATTGTTGGAGGAACTCCGAATACTACTGGATATACTGTAGCAGTCCCTCCTGCAATCACTGTCCCTAACTTTGTCATTGATTTATATGACGTTCAACAAGAGGCTTTAGAAAAATCATAAAGAGTAATTTGTTAAATATTGAGAAAAAAGAGGCCGGCCCGGCTAAACTAAAAAATTGATGATAGAGTAGCGGACGTTTCAAGGGAGGAAAGGCATAAAAGAACATGCCTGCTTGTTTAAGCCTGCCGAGCCCTAACCCATAAATTGGCAGTTCCTTCCCCGCTACTCACTATTATGCGTAACTGTTTTACTATCGATCCAAACACCTATTTTATCTAAGTCGCTACTTTTTAAATACGATAATAATTTTTGATTATATTTCTACTAAGTTTTTCCACCCCAAGATTAAAAATATCAACGGCTACAATACCACACATATCATCCCGCCTTCTCGCATATATGCTCGAAGCCAGAGAAAAAATTAATAATTATATAGCCTTCATCTGGTACAATATATTGTCATCAATTTATCTTTTTCCGAACATGAGAGGAAAAAGGATCGTTGAAGTAATATCCGAAAATGAACGTTGGCTGGAACCAGAAGCTTCGGATTGATTTTCATCACTTTGTTGGTCGGATGAGTCGTTGTCTTGGAGTTCCACTTCCTCGGTGGGTTCAGATTCTTATTTCCGGAGAAATGTCACTTCGTACCTGGACGACAGCATAATATCGATTAATCTCGTTTTGGAGCGTTGAGATAGATCCATTAATTGCATAGAATTTCGGATAAATACGTCAAGGCGTTCGACTCTACCAAAATTATTATGGTAGGTTTGAAGGATGCGTTCAATTTCATCAAGTCTGGAAGTGGAAGTATTAAGCATTGTCAAGATTCTTTGGACCTCCGCTGTAAATTTCTCGTCACGTGAAATAAGTTCGGCGTTAAATTTGGCACGGTATTCGGTAAGCTCGGTTACGAATCTGGCATCACGATCAGCAAGTTCGTTGGTGAGTCGGGCATCATGATTTGCAAGAATTTCATTAATGGTATCACGTGTAAAAAGGCCGGAATTATGCCCGCCTTCTCACATATATGGCACCGACAAGTAAGCACAGAGATTTTCTCTACGAACATCAATAGACCGGCGAAGTCCAAAAATGGAGCGATTCCCGAAACGGCAAGCGATGACATCTATAAGTGAGAGTTGGTCTATTAGCATACATACACGAATGCGGGTAAAGTGTCATAGCATATAAACAAATAAACAAACCTTAATCGTTAGAAATTAGATATTATTTGAGTGTATGAACTTTAATCGTTAGAAATTAGATATTATTTTGAGTGTATGAATCTTTTTATTTATCGTAGATAAAATTTATTAGCGAAGCCTTTAGTGAAACTAAAGAGATTTGTTAAATGTTTTATTCCTTCCAAATCGTTAATTATAACGAAGGGGTAAAGGGTCAGATCTTTTTTCTCCACCTTTTTATATAAAAAAATTAAAGATCAGAATTTATTTATAGACTTGAACGGTAAAGGACCAGAAATTGCCAGAGATTGCGAAAAAATTAGGTTTTGAAAAAGAAAAAAATTTACCCAATATTACTGATAAAGTGGTATCTGGCATTGTTAAGCAAGTATCGGATAAAAAAATCTGGATCTCTCTTCACCGATTACTGGAGATAGTGAAACCTGAGATTCAGGAGGATATTATAAATTCGATAGTAAAACCCGATATATCTCGAAGAAATCGTACACCATACAAGGCTAAAAGAAAAAAGAAAATTTTAAATGATACCGCATCCGAGTCCTCATCCTCGTCTTCATCTTCATCTGGGTCTAGTTATGAATGGTCTAATGATGAAGATTTTACTGTAGATATGGTAAAAGTGAAGAAGTGCAATTAATCTTGATCATGGATATGGAATGGTCTTGCTTGCTCGTAAGGAACTCCTCTTTTTCTATAATTGATTACAACACAATTTTGTACAGGAGAAGTATGGTTATCGGATGAATGACATAGACATTCTCCAGCAACTGTATAAGCATGGACCATATTCTTAACCTCATGTGCTACTGCACTATAAACTGCTTCTAATTTATATAAATGCTTAGGAATTAAATCATAGTTTTTTAAAAATCTATTGAACCATTTAACTCCTGGCTTACCTGGATTACCCATTCAACCAGAATATATAGCATGCTGAATCCAAGTGAGTAGTTCTTTGGCTTGTTCTTGATTCTTCTCCATAGATCTAAATTTTTTAGAAATATCTGGCTGGCCTCAATTCTTTGCATAATTCATTACTCCAGCATCTGTAATGCATAAAGTTTTAAATTCAGCAGGACAAATACAAAGCATTATTATAATATCTGTGAGAGCTTGTAAATCAGATAAAGTAGATACATCATAACTATCCAATCTCTCTTTGACCGATTCTAACGTAAAATGATCTGGATAGTCAATACAATTAGCTTTAGCCTTTTTTCAATTGTTTCTTTGGATTTTGTTAACAACTTCTATAATATCTGGAAATTTAGTAACATAGATTATTTCAGGTGATGCATTAAGGTTCCTCAATTCTCTACGAAGACAAGAGAGACATGATGAACCAGTATTGGCATCTGGTACTGATAGGACTAAGGTATAAGCTTCAGCTCTTACATCTCTAATACTAAGTTAATCTCATAAAATCCATTGTACCATCTCTCCAATAGTTTCCTCCTTTAATGTTTTAGACAATTTGTTAGAAATAGCAATATTTATAATCTTATTGCAAAGCAATAGTTCTCTGAACCTATTTTTATTTTCTTGAGTAGAGAATAAGACATTTATTTGATCCATACTAAACCCATATCTATTCTATAAGATTTGTTTTGCTTTCTCTCTGATGATCTCTTCTTTTAAACTTTTTGAAGGCTTAGTTATAGTTATTTTACAATTACCTTCAATAATATTTATAATCTTGGTTTTCCCATTTCTTTGATTAGGTATCAATATACTTACTTGCTTATTGCTAAATTTAAAGCTATTCTAAAGCTGCCTACAAATTTAATTTCACTTTTTATCATTGGTAAGCTTTTTAAAAAATTCTGAAATATATTGACTGAGTTTGATTATACTTGTTCTGGAAGTAAGGTTGTATTTTTCAATAATTTTAGTTGTGATAACTAACATGATTAAATGTTATAGTAGATCAATTAGTTTATAAATGATTCTTTATATTATATACACTATAAAAAATATTTTTTCAAATCAAAATTAATTATACTTATTTCTCCTATACTTAGAGGTATATAAGTACCATTATTCTATAATAAAAGAAAATTTATATCTATCTATAGGGTAATCGAGATGTCAATTTGAAATTTAAATCATTTTTTTTATATTTTTACTACATATATTATTATAGCATATTTAAGAATTTTTAGTATATCAGAAGTATTAGAACATATTTTATATTCTTTATTTATAGATAAATTTCTTTATCCTGCTTTATATGTTTCCTGATTGTGGTATAGGTGTAATGCTCCTATTCTATGGGAACAAGTTAAGCTAAAGAAAAATAACATGAAAAAATTATATGAAAATAATACATGATAAACATAGGTCAATTTATTGTTTAAATATAATCCACCTGAAAATTCTATACTACTATTTACTTTCAGATAAAAAATTCAAAGGTGTTATATGCCTGTTTCCAAATATAATTCATTTAAATTGATATTATAATATGAAATTTGATGATAAAATGTTAAATCGAATAGTAGAAT